AAAAAAAAAAAACGGGCGGCAGTATCAGGATCTGAAATCAGGTCTGCATGGTGCCAGGAGACCGTGCTGCTGAAACGCACGCACTCTCGTCTCCTGAAGTCCATCTACCCATAGGAAAGAAAACACCATGGCAGAAAACACGTGGAACCGCCTGTCCTGAATGGGCCAGTTTAGGTTTTCACGGATGCTTTTTGGCCTTTCTCCCATATGGATGAATCTGGTGACATTTGACTGCATTGTGAGACAGGTACTGTAGGGAACAGAAAAGTGCCAGACAAATGAGCGAAGCCTCAGACCGGCAGCAGCTATCTGCTTTATCCATCAGAATTTTTCTAAAGTCACAAATGAGCTTCAGCACTTCATGTTTCCTTCATTCTACAAAATTACCAGGCCCACTGGGGGTCACACAAAGGGGCCCCGGACAAATCCTTGCCCTAGTGGAGTTGGTGGTTGAGCTAGCGGCCTGCAGGCCGGGAGGACGCAGAGCTGCAGCCTGACTGAGCTACACGGGCGGGCGGCCAGGACGCCAAGAGCGTGTTAATAAGAGTTCGGTGTTATAATCCAGTGAAATATAGAGCAAAGTTCACCCGAGCATGCTTCATAGCATGCTTCCTCACCACCGGTTACACAATGAGGCTGGAGTGGGCACCTCCTGGCACACACAGCTGTAATTAAAGCTACTTTTTTCACTGCCAAACAAAACACTTCTGGAGAGGGAAGTTGAGGCGGAGCCAGAGGCCACTCCAAGACCTCTCTGGGTTCAGAAGCTAACTGGTGAGTCCAGCTGCTGTCTTCCCCTCAGAGGCCCCCATGACTTCTCCCTTCTCCTGCTCTGGGCTCTCCTGCAGCCGCCGCCTCTCCTTTGCACAATCTTGCCCATCCTGTCCCTCACGCAGTGGCAGGACCTCGTCTGATACTTTATCCATCCTGCTCCACCACGTTCCTGGCTGCACGGGCTCACAGCAGCAGAGATGGGCCGTGGCCATAGTTCCTCTCACTGCCTCAGAGGCCATCTGGGCACACAGGCACCAGCCAGGGAGGAAAGAAGTAGGAATAAATACAGACAATGAAGAAAGGCTGCCAGGAAAGGAATTTTTAAGAGAGGCTGGAAATGGGTCAAAAGGGGAGGCACAAGGAGGCTGATGGGAGAGCAGAAGAAAGAGTGTTGGGAGAGCAGAAGAAAGAGTGTAACTGGCAGGGAAAGAGTTGGGGCGCCCTGCATGATGTCCACGCCAGAAACGTACAAGGCAGAAACAAGCAACAGTGCACTTCCGCCTTTTCAAACCCAAACTTGCAGGTATTACGGAGCTTGTAAAATCTCCCATGCAGCTGCTGCTAGTCTGCGGCTTCTCTCATTTGTCTGGCACTCTTCTGTTCCCTGCAGTACCTGTCTCACAATGCAGTCAAATATCACCAGATTGGCCGGGAGCAGCGGCTCACACCTGTAATCCCAGCACTTTGGGAGGCCGAGGCGGGCAGATCACGAGGTCAGGAGATCGAAACCATCCTGGCTAACACGGTGAAACTCCGTCTCTACTAAAAATACAAAAAACTAGCCGGGCGTGGTGGCGGGCGCCTGTAGTCCCAGTTACTCGGGAGGCTGAGGCAGGAGAATGGCGTGAACTCAGGAGGCGGAGCTTGCAGTGAGCCGAGATGGCACCACTACACCCCAGCCTGGGCGACAGTGTGAGGCTCCATCTCAGAAAAAAAAAAAAAAAATGTCACCAGATTGATCCATGTGGGAGAAAGGCCAAAAAGAATCAGTGAAAATCTAAACTGGCCCATTCAGGACAGGCAGTATGCAGGGAACGGGAGCCCCCCTCTCAGAGCCACTGGATGACCCTGAAATTCTGGGCTAAGGAAATCAGGGCAGGCCGTAACTGCAGAGTGGAGCTAAGGTGCCTCTTTACATGATTCATTCCTGAGGATGGTTCTTCTCGCAGAAGCTGAAGCCAGTTACTGTTGTGCACACTCAGGGACCACAGACTGCACCTGGGCAGCAGGGCCTGGGCAAAATCGGGACCACCAAGGTTATGCCAGGGCGCTCTGAGGGGAACAAGCGTGCTCTGACTGCACCTGGCCTAAGGCTGCTCACCCAATCCCACTACGACCAAATCTTGACTGCGACTAGAGTGCTTTTAGCCTGAAAGATGAGGGATGTGAGTGCAAAGCAGAATGAGGCTATTTAAAGCTCCGGCCACGTGAGCAAAAACACTAAGATACAGAACTGGCTCCATTTCCAGTTCATCAGGGACACGACATCCCTAAACAGAGATGACACCATCAGCAAGGGACCTCCACCCCCGTCCCACACCATGGTGGCTTTGGCATTCTCCTTTCACACTTCTCTTTCAGAAATAACCTGAGACAAGCCTCGTGAAGCCCACCTGTCTCCCCGGAGACCCGGAGCCGCTGGCCGTTGCAGAAGGCGCCCCCGCCCCGCCGGCCCGTGTACAGCCGCTCCTCTGTGCAGTGGTAAATCACTCCGAATTCCAGCTGTGGGCGGCAGAGGCAGGACAGAAAACAAAGACGGTTCACTCATTTGATGTGGAAAAAAAACGTCGTCATTCAAAGATGAAGGCTGCCCTAGGTGTTAGGATAACTCATGACACTGTGACAGAAATTACCTTTCCAAAAGCAACTGAGAAAAAGCAGTGCCTGCATTTAAAATGAGACCTGGACATAAAAGCAAGCTTGCTTTTGCTAAACAACTACATTTTAAAACATATTCGGACTAATAAAGCTTTAAAAACTAACATCAAAACGAGCATTAGTAACCAGAAGTTATTGAAAAAGCTTAATTTTTTAGAAAGGCCCCTTTTGTTGCTGGAAAAAAAGGTTACTTGTGACTCTAACCAAACCCCATAAGAAATCCTCAGCACTGCTGATGGGTGAGGAGAGAATGCATCTGTAAAGCCAGCAGGATCTCAGAAGCCCAAGGACAGCCCCAGCGAGGAAGCGGTGGCGCTGCAGACTGGGGACTGATCCGTGAGCAGGCAGTGCACTGAACAGCGGCCCCACTGCCCCACATCGGGGGACAACGCGTCAGACCACAGCCTCCCAGGATGAAGCAGCAAAAGGAAGGTCAGCGTGGAAAAGGACGGGGGCCCACGGCCGCACGCCTCTGTGACCTTTCCTCTACCGACTTTTCACCACTCAGGGTGAACAAGGGCCAGTGTGCTTGTTTAGCAAGTTAGCCAAGTTTTCACCTCTCTGGAAAATTTTAAAAAACACCCCAGCCAAATGCCTTAGGAAAGCCTTGGCCGGCCCTGGGGTGAGCACAGCCACCCTGGAGTGGACACCCCAAGCTACAGAGAAAGGGTTTATTTCTGGGGGTTGGGGGTGTCATTTAGTCCACGCTACTCAGAGCCTGCAGGTGTCTGGCAGCATTTCGTCATCCTTCCCTGTCCAGTACCCTGGCTTTAAAGGAATCCTCACGACCAGGTCAGTCCTAGAATTCAGCTGGTTCCTGAGGCCTGTGAAGGACTGCCAGACTGCAGAGGAATGTCCCAGCCCCAGCCCACCACTATAAGCCAGGAGCTCCCGTATTCACTCTAGGAACATAGGACAGACCCTAGCCGACCCAGAGAAGGGCGGAGGACCTAGCCAGCCATTCCAGCAGCCCCTTCGCACAGTCACAGAGCATCAATCAACCCCTGAAGTACTGCTCAGCCTCCCGCCCACGCTGGGCACCATGATACGATTTAACAGAGAAGTCAATCATCGCATCCTTAGACAAATTACAGTATTACGATTGTTATCTTCAGCTTAAGTACTTTGAGATACTTTAGTACTTAACTTTAAATACTTCAACTTAAGTACCTCTCTCAGCTCCCCTGCCAGGGAGTCTGCGCTGAGACTAAGGTGAAGCTGCACAAATGCTGCTCTGAAGCAGGGCTGCTTTGGGAGACACAGAGCACTCAGTCCTATTTAAATAAAACTGTTTCAATTACATAGAAATTAAGGCTCTTCTCAGTGCTGCTGCTTGAATTACTTAATAAGGTTAAAACCTCAGCCCCACGCCTTCCATGCAGGTCCCACAACACTGTGTAGTTCAGAAGGCCTATGGGAACCACGAGAGAGCCACGTTCTCATGCTAATAACCAGAGGAAGATAAGAAAGAATTATTAGAATATTGGGATTGAGGATGTTCTCCAAAAATAAGTGCTCCTTTCAGTTTGTGAGATCACACGCTCTAGAGGTCAGCTGGAGATGCACTTGGACCGCTCACTTAGGACTTCCGCTTCCACAGCAGTGTCACAAATAGACCCGGGGAACACGGGGCCAGCCCTCCACAGGGGACAAGGGCCAGCCACAGAGCCCCACCCTGCACACCCCAAAGCCAGTCTGGACTTGTTTATTTTCTCGGATTTGAAACCCACAGGCTTGGATTTGCCAGTCATGATTAAGGCACAGGGCAAACAGCAAACCAGGCGCACAGAGGCTGAAGCCAGAAAGGAAGGCTGGCCAGAGGGAGCCCAGGGAGAGGCCCCGGACCCGGCCACACCCGCACCTCTTGTCGAACGGCAAATCCAATGCTGACCGCCACAGTCGGGAATCTGCAAAGGAAAACAGAAGGGTTTATTCTCTGGAACAAGAGCGCAGCGCTCGGGAACCTGTGTGCCGCGCCGTCCCCACAGGCTCTGAAGGACCTTCCTACGCTCTGGGGGGGTTGGTTGTTAAAAACTACTTCCCACAGTTCCACTAACTGCTTCCAAGACAAACAGAATAAACTGACCATGTTGTAAGACAGTTAACCTTGAAAGCAAACAGCACTGTGAAAGTCACATAAGACTGACGTAACTCAACCACCCTCTGATGCCCAACTAGAAAGGATCTCAATCATCCGTTTTCTGGTTCTCCGGACCTAAAGGGACAGCAGAGCCCTCCCCAAACACCAGATCCAGTCCCAGGTGGGGTGCCAGGCAGGTGGTCCCGGAAGGCACCACAGCCTCCCCACGGGGGCCAGTTCTGAGCCACAGCCCACCTTGCGGCACTGCTAGCATCCCTGTCCCTGCCTGAGTGCCCAGTAGCCAGCTGCAGGGACAGCCATGGCTGCAGACAGTTTCCATGATCAGTTTGCCTGCAGTTTTGTGATTCGGCTATTGCTGCTCAGTATCTTCAAATAATCCTTCCTTTACAGGCAGACCATTGGAGCTTAAAAACAGGCAGGAAAGGCTGAGTACTGCAAACTGACAGGAAAAATGCAAAACCAATTGTACACAAACGCAACTCTGACTGCCGGGGTGTGCGGGACCCTGGGGTGAGCCGCTGGCTTCCAGGGCGGATGCACCATGTGCCAGGCCTCACACTTGTTCCCGTGCCCAGGAGAGCTTTCTCCCACTGCTGTGGCCCAGCACTGGTGGGCACAGGGGTGAACAGGTGCCATCTGAGTGGCAGCTGCTGGTGGCTTTCGGATGTCTTCAGACCACAATGACCACCACAGCTGTAGCGTGGCGTTCAGGAACTGTCAGAATCAGCTCTGGAGTCTGTTCTGAAATTGCTACTCTTTTCCCAGTCACCTCCCCAGTCCCAGGATCCCTCCAGGGGCACAGACAGGAAAGCACTGGAAACTGTGTCTCTGGAGCCACTGAAGACCCTTGGATAACGTGTGGCCTTCACCATGTGACAGGGCTTCACCTGCCGTGTCACCATTATGAGCACCCTGGAACCACAAGCAGGCAGAAGCAATGAGGCTCCACTCAGTGACGTACTCTGGGGAGGAGAGCCCGGGGAAGGATCCTGCTTTCGTTGAAATGAGAGGAGAGATTGATGACACATTTGCTGGCACCAGATGGCACGACTCCACTGCCTCAAAAGGGTCGCCTTGTGTAGGCACAACTGAATTTTTTTTTTTTTTTTTTTTTTTTTTTTTTGAGACGGAGTCTTGCTCTGTCGCCCAGGCTGGAGTGCAGTGGCCGGATCTCAGCTCACTGCAAGCTCCGCCTCCCGGGTTTACACCATTCTCCTGCCTCAGCCTCCCGAGTAGCTGGGACTACAGGCGCCCGCCACCTCGCCCGGCTAGTTTTTTTGTATTTCTTAGTAGAGACGGGGTTTCACCGTGTTAGCCAGGATGGTCTCGATCTCCTGACCTCGTGATCCGCCCGTCTCGGCCTCCCAAAGTGCTGGGATTACAGGCTTGAGCCACCGCGCCCGGCCACAACTGAATTCTCAAGGCAGCTCACCTAGAAAAAGGCCGTGCTGAGCATGGAGTAACTTCATTTTTACATATAAACGTGTCATCAGAGGCAGATCATAAAGGAGCCCACACCGGGCTCTGCTCACCCTTCCTGCCCAGCGCGTGCAGCCCAGTGTGTGGGCGTGCACTGTGAGCGCCGGAGCCGCGAGCCACCCGCCCATGGAACGGGCATCTCTCCAGGGTTCTCCAGAGCTGGAGAACTACCCTCTGTGAAAGCCACATCGTGCTCTGTGCCCCAGGTCCCCAGCCACCTGTGCGTGTAGACAGGCAGTGCAGCACCATCACCCGCCCCTGTCAGAGAACGCCTGTGGTTGTGTCCCTGTCACCTTCACATCGCTGTCACTACACCATCCCCGAAGCTCCATTCCCTTCACCTCCCCACACGGGCCCCCCTGACCTCCCCAAACCCCCTGCTTTTTGTAACCACGAGGTTTGCTGTCATACAGGAAGATGGCTCTCAAATCTCACCCGTCACAGGCCACTCTCTACAACTCGGGCTCCGGCCACTGTGGGGCAGCACAGGCTTTGTATCCCAACCTCACCTTTCTCTCCAGTGGGGGTGGGGTGTGAGGGGAGTCAGACTCCTCGAAGGGGTCCTTGTTAAATGCAACGCAACATTTCTAACGTAACAAACTGGTTTTTAAACAAGTGCAGATTTCCTTACATACTCCAAGAGCCTCTCACAAATGGAAAATCTGATTTTAAAAATATCAAGATCTGAACATCTTTCTAACGAGACTATGAGCCTACTATAGGTTTGTTTATATATTCCTGCCTTAAAAAACTGCTGCTTAGGAAAAGACAAAATCTCACGGACGAGGACGTGTTAAGCCCTGCAACGGAGACGATCCCTGCCCAGCTCACCTGTGCACAAAATTGCAGGTACCGTCGATGGGGTCGATGATCCAGGTCGGGTTGTGGGTGAGCACACACTTGGCCCCAGAAGCCGCGGCCTCTTCGGCAATGAACCTGCAGTGGAGGAACCTAGCCTGAGAAAATGCACCAAGGACACAGAACAACGTGCCTCAAATTACTTCCAGTCCCGTTCAAGAAAAAGGTGGCACAGCAAACGGATGTCATTACGGTTTCCCTGGGTCAGACAGAGGCAGAGTCTTAAACAACCATGTGCTTTTTGACCTGCCTGCCAGCCAACCTCCTCAGCAGGGTTTAGAACAGAGTGGCACCTCAGTGCCGGCCGGCGTTCAGAAAGAGCACCAGGGATTCCAGCAGGCCAGGCAGAGAAACGCCAGCGCGAAGAACACTGGAAAACAAATCTTCGGAAGCAAAACTAAACTCGGCTTTAACTTCAGTCTGGAGGGGAGGGGGCTGATGAGAGATGACCAAGCAAGGTGGCCCAGGACTCTGACTTCGATTCTCCCAGTCGGTGCTGATACCTGGGCACCGAGGGGTTAAATGTCACTTGCAGCTGAGACCTCCCACGTCTGCACCCAGCCTGGCTCACCTGAACTGCAGACACAGGTGACGAACAGAGCCCCCCGCAGCTGGGTCATTTCCCAAAGGTGCCCTTCCTGCCCTGCTCTCTGACTTCTCTGGTTTTTTTGTTGTCTCTTAAGAGAGAGGGTCTTGATCTGTTGCCCAGGCTGGAGTGCAGTGGTATCGTCATAGCTCGTGCAGCCTCCAACTCCTGGATTCAAGCAACCCTCCTGCTTTGTTCTCCCAAGCAGCTGGGACTACAGACGCATACCAACACAGTCAGCTAATATTTTAATTTTTGTAGAGATGGGGTCTTGCTATATTGGCCAGTCACAAATCCAGCTTCCCTCTGGGAGCAAGCAAGGGTGGGGATGCAGGAAGGAGAGAGGCTGGGACACTCCCTGCCCACCCCCTGCCCCATGTGCCCTGTGCAGGCTCCACTCCTCCATGTGGCCTCCTTGACACACTCCTGCTAGAGGGACATGGGCTGCCTGCTCCTGCACTCTGCAGCAGGCCCTGGGCTGGCCCCTCCTTCGTAATGTGTCCCTCTGCAAACAAGGCCGCCTACAATCCTCACTTGAGTGTACATCTGTCCTGCTAGGAACCTGACCGAGACAATGTCCTCTTAAGATTCACCTGCACAGAAGGGAACTCCTGATTTTCTCTACTTGCCTCTTCCTCCACAAATGGTACCTCCCAGCACACCCTGCTCAGGCCAAAAACAAGGGAAGGCACTCTCGCCCCATGGACTGTCACCCTTTCTCCGGCACCCCACCCACACGCAGGCCCACACACACAGGGAAGGTGCCTGCGGTCAGGTGTGTTCGCAGTCTACCTTCTGCAGGCTCGTCCCTGTGGAGCTGGCCACTGCTTACACCTTCCAAAGGCATTCTCAGGATCAAAGAAAAGACCAGACCTAAAGCATTCAGGGCAGTGCTCTGCACACGTTTGGACCATCCCAAGTTCACTAAGGGTGGGGCCTTGGGCAGGCACTGAGCAAACATCTGTTCTGTGCATGATTATGTGGCCTTACTGAGAGGTTTTCTATCCGGTTCCTGTGCCGGGTTCACACGTGCACTAGAGAAAAAGGAGACCTGCAGAGAATAAGAAAAAAAAAATGACTGAAAAGCAAGCCGGGCACGGTGGCTCCCATCTGTAATCCCAGCACTGTGGGAGGCCAAGACGGGCAGATCACCTGAGGTCAGGAGTTGGAGACCAGCCTGGCCAGCTTGGTGAAACCCCGTCTCTACTAAAAACACAAAAATTAGCTGGGTGTGGTGGCGTGCACCTGTAATCCCAGCTACTTGAGACTGAGAGAGGAGAATTGCTTGAACCCGGGAGGTGGAGGTTGCAGTGAGCTGAGATCACACTACTGCAGTCCAGCCTGGGAGAGCGAGACTCCGTCTCAAAAAACAAAACGAAAAATAAGTAAAAACACAAAAATTAGCTGGGTGTGGTGGTGTGCACCTGTAATCCCAGCTACTTGAGACTGAGAGAGGAGAATTGCTTGAACCCGGGAGGCGGAGGTTGCAGTGAGCTGAGATCACACTACTGCAGTCCAGCCTGGGAGAGCGAGACTCCGTCTCACTGCAACCTCCGCCTCCTGGGTTCAGGCGATTCTCCTGCCTCAGCCTCACGAGTAGCTGGCATTACAGGCGTGCACCACACCTGACTAATTTTTTGTATCTTTAGTGGAGACAGGGCTTCACCATGTTGGCCAGGCTGGTCTTGAACTCCTGACCTCGTGATACGCCCACCTCAGCCTCCCAAAGTGCTGGGATTGCAGGTGTGAGCCACCACGCCTGGCCCTGTGTCACTTTTCTATGCACAGGAGCTGCCGTACACACTGTAACCTGGTCCCCATCCACCCTGGGACCATCCTTCCATTGCTCGGTTATGAAGTTCATGCATGGGATGCAGAGTCATCCAGCCCCTCCATTTTGCTGATAAATTATCTAGAAATACACCCCTGGGATATGACAAGTGCACATGCATCATCTCAGGCTGTGCCACCTCCTCCCTGGCCCCCTAGAGAAACCCACAAATGAGTAGGGGCTTCTGAGCCAGGAAGACCAGGTCAGGTCAAGCCAGGGGCACTGGGCAAGACACCCAAGCAATCCACAGCTGTTCCTGGAGAGCCCGGGCAGGCTCAGTCTGCCCCTGGAGCTTTCAGCCTGGCCAGGCAAGGCAGATGAGATGTGATGAACCCAAGCTTCTGGTTCTTCGTCTACACTGCATGCCGCGCTCCTTTCAGGAACTGCCTCTCCACTATCAGTTGTCCACATGCTTCGGGGTCAGGTGATGCACGGGCCCACCAGCCAGAGCCCCTGCTCAGGAACTCGTGCTCCCCAAACAGGTCTAGGAGGAACAAATGGTGGGTAGAAGCCACAATGGCAGGTGGCGCAGGGGGTGGGGAGCCTGTCTCCTGACCACAGCAGCATGCAGGTGACACACAGATGATGATTCCACTTAGGACGTGACCATGAGTGCTGTCAGCACTGCCAGTTTTTCTAGAAATTTCAGGCACTAAATCTGTTGTCCACGTCTTGTGTAGCTACGTGACTTTCCTCTTCTGCAATGACGTTTCGAAAGAAAACACTCCACACCCTGAAAACACACATACAAGGAGCAACTGCAAAAGCTT